TCTATCCTGTTATTTGTACTACACATAACAATAATATATTAGAATTGAAATGGTTAATACTGACCATACACTGTGCACAAACATGCCTGCAAACACACACAATTTATATATTATATATATTATATATATATACATATATATCATACATATATATGTATATATCATTCATGCATATTACATACCTCCATATACATTCATACATACATACACATACACATACACACACACACACACACACACACACACACACACACACACACACACAATCCATGACGTCTAGGATCACCCCCAAACGTACACAGTACCGTGACCACTGCACCATTGATTGTCTTGGTGTAGTGGTCACAGTACTGTGTACGTTTGGAGATGATCCTGGATGTCATGGGTTCGAATCCTGGTTGAATCATTTAGAGTTCCTTGTGCTCTATGGCTTGCTTGTTCCTGCAGCCTCTCTCACTTTATATACTATAATATAATATATATATATATATATATATATATATATATATATATATATATATATATATATATATATATATATATATATATATATATATATATATATATATATATATATATATATATATATATATATATATATATATATATATATATATATATATATATATATATATATATATATATATATATATATATATATATATATATATATATATATATATATATATATATATTATATATATATATATGTATGTATATATGTAATTCATTCAATTAGCACTAGGCGACTCAAACTGCTGACCCCACAGTGCGAGGCAGAAACTCTCCCACTTAGCAATTCGAGAAGCCCCATAGTAAAAATCTCAGAGGCAGCAAACCACTACCCAACTGACATGTTATACTTTCCCTACCCCTCTTAAACAGAGGCCTCTCTCTGGTTTACTGCTTCTGAAATCTATCCTATTGGGCCTCCCGAATAGCGCAGTGGTAGAGCCTCCGCCTCACACCATGGGGTAAGCGGTTCAAGTCTCCTAGTGCCTATGTGAATGAAATTTTTATTTTCACGATAGTGTGGTTGACAATTTATATACAGTCAGCCACATGCTTTTTGAAACCCTTGGGACCAAGACTGAACGGATAACCTGTGGTGTTCGGATAAGTGGTTTGTCATTTAGAAAAGCTAGGGAGAAAATTGACAATTTTGTTGCAGAAATTTGACAGGCTTTTGTTTGTACTCACCAATATGAGAAGTTCTAATCCACTTGTTAACTTGAAGATTATAGTTGATGGAGCACTGTTATTGAGATAGAAAAGTTGGTAGTGGATGATGATGGTGCTGGGTTGACTGAAGTGGAGATTAATAATGATGAGGTAACCTCAGCAGACTGCCATTCTAGTGACATTAAGTACTCTAATGTCCCTAATGCCATGGCAGAATTTAAAGACTGCTTACGTGGCAATGTGTACAGTCACTGGGCAAACTATTTCCATCTTTATTGCATATTTTTATTCAGACTGCTGCCTGCCCCACCAGTTATCCGAACTTTTTTATCCGAACAAACCAAAATTAAATACAGTAACAGACATTTTAGGGAAAAAGAGGTGCTTTTTCCTAAAATGTACACACACACATACATGAATGATGAGTATGTGTTTGCAAATATTCACAAACTAGCATGTCCTTAGAGTTAGCCAACGTGAACAAAGAATAGTGACATGTAAACCAAATAAACAGCCATGTCCACACAGGTAGCAAACATGTACACATAATAAACTGCCATGTCTACACAGGTAGCCAACATGTACACACATAATAAACAGCCATGTCCACACAGGTAGCCAACATGTACACACATAATAAACTGCCATGTCCACACAGGTAGCCAACATGTACACACATAATAAACTGCCATGTCTACACAGGTAGCCAACATGTACACACATAATAAACTGCCATGTCTACACAGGTAGCCAAATAAACAGCCATGTCCACACAGGTAGCAAACATGTACACATAATAAACTGCCATGTCTACACAGGTAGCCAACATGTACACATAATAAACTGCCATGTCTACACAGGTAGCCAACACGTACACATAATAAACTGCCATGTCTACACAGGTACCCAACACGTACACACATAATAAACTGCCATGTCCACACATTAAGTTGGCACTAATACAGAATAAATTGATGAGCAAGTATAACAAGTCTCCTACTCAGTGCTAACACCCACAATACCTGAAAATTGTATTAAAATCTACAAGATTGCTGTATCATTCATGCAACCTTAACTTAAATGAGAAAACGGATATATAAATGTTGTAAAAAAAGAAATGCATACATGTATATATATAATAAATAAATGCACCTTCTCTGAGCAAACTTGCCATATTCTATAATCACAGATCACACAATTACCAATTATATTAATTACAAACAAGTGCTTCAACAAAAGCATATAAACAAGAAGGTTAACTTAAGTGTGCCATCTCTCTCTCCTCCTGCATCCAGTAAGCATATTTTGATTGTTGTCACCAGCAGCAGCTAGTTTATTGTGCACCCCATGATCATCCTGCGAGCGGTAGTGCAAAAGTATTATAGAAGTCGCAAAAGGTCTTAATTAGACCAAAGTGGATGTCTGACATCTACTTTTGTTTTCCTTCAACTAATTTCATTCAACTGGAGAGCTCCTCCAGTTTCTTTTGTCCACTCCAAAATTTATACCAACGCATCATTGGCCAATAAATAATACGTATGCTTACTGCGTTTTGGCTACGTTCAGTTAGTATCGTCTAAACTGCAGGAAGTAGCAGCCTAGAGAGAGAGGGGGGAGGCAGGTAAATTAGCAATGGTAATTAGCATTTCACCTGGAATTAACCTCTGTAATAATGGCAAGCTGTTGAATTTCTGTTTTTGTATATTTCACCTAGTTGTGCTTGCGGGTGTTGAGCTCTGCTCTTTCGGCCCGCCTCTTCAACTGTCAATCAATCAACTGTTACTAACTACTTTTTTATCCACACACACAATTAGTCGAGTACAATTAGGTGATTAGGTAAGTATACACACACACACACACACACACACACACACACACACACACACACACACACACACACACACACACACACACACACCCACCCAAGAAGTAGGTCTTACTCCCAGGTACCTATTTACTGCTAAGTAACAGGTGCATCAGGGTGAAGGAAACTGCCCATTTGTTTTTCTGGTAGTGCCGGGGAATCGAACCCCAGTCCCTAGGCCCATGAGTCTAGAGCACTGTTCACTCAGCCACCACCCACCCCTCCCACCCCTGTGTTCTGTGTGTTTGTTTTTCTCTTTCTCTCTCTCGGTCTCTCTCTCTCTCTGTTTTTCCTATAGTCTTTGTCACATCCAACTCTAGCAAAAGCTTCCTTACATCTCCACTGGTAATCTCAAATTCTTCTAGTGGTACCTGGTTAATTATTTTCTCTCTTATCTCTGGAATTTCTCCTTGCTCTAATGTGAAGCCTTCCTGGAATTTCATACCGAGTTCCTCACACACTTCTTTGTCGTTTGTAGTGAATCTGTCTGCCCCTATCCTCAGTTTCATTACCTGTTCCATCACTGTTGTCTTACTCCTGATGTAGCTGTACAGCAATTTGGGTTGGGTATAGCATAGCAAGCATAGCCTTGCTTGCTATGTCGTTTTCATATTGCCCTTCTGCCTCTCTTCTCACCCTGATGTATTCATTCCTGGCTCTCTGGTAACCTTCTCTGCTCTCATGTGTCCTGTTATTTCTATAGTTTCTCTATGCTCTTTTACTTTGTTGCTTAGCTAGCTTACATCTCTGATTAAACCATGGGTTTCTCATCTGCATTTCATTTTTTACCATTTGGGACGGGATAAACTTTTCTGCTGCCTCCTTGCACTTCTGCGTGATGTATTCCATCATGCCTTGGGCCGTCTATCCCCTTAGTTCTGATTCCCATGTTATATTTGTTAGGAATTTTCTTATCGCCTCGTAATTTCCCTTACGGAATGCTAGCCTTTTGCTTTCAGTTGCCTTTCTTGAGTACTTTAGCCCTTCTTTGCCCAGATACTCAAACGTCAGTACACTGTGATTGCTCATTCCTACTGGGGCCTCGAAGTCAATTTCCCTTATGTTGGAGTCATTCAGAGTGCAGACTAGGTCGAGTCTCGCTGGTTCATCGTTTCCCCTCATCCTAGTGGGTTCCCCGACATGTTGGCCTGGAAAGTTTCTTGTCGCCACCTCTACTAGTTTGGCTCTCCATGTATCCTCTCCTCCGTGCGGTTCCTTGTTCTCCTAGTCTATCCTTCTGTGATTGAAGTCCCCCATGATAAGCAGATGGGATCGATTTCTGCAGGCAGCAGAGGCTGCCCTCTCAATTACGTTATTAACTGCCATGTTGTTTCTGTCATACTCTTGCCTGGGTCTTCTGTCATTTGGTGGTGGGTTATATATCACTGCTGCTACTACTACTCTATGTCCTCCCATCGTCATAGTGCCTGTTATGTAGCCTCTAAACCCTTCACAGCCTGCGATAATTATCTCCTTGAAGCTCCATTCCTTTCTCATAAGTACGGCCACTCTGCCTCCTCCCCTACCCTCCCTCTCATTCCTTATTACAGTGAAATCCTGTGGGAACACCGCATTTGTTATGATTCCTGAGAGTTTTGTTTCCGTGATTCCAATTATATCTGGGTTTACTTCTTGTGCTCTTTCCCTAAATTAAACACACACACACACACAAACCGGGACCAAAGAGCCAAAGCTCAACCCCCGCAAGCACAATTAGGCGAGTACACACGTACGTACGTATGTGTGTGTGTGTGTGTGTGTGTGTGTGTGTGTGTGTGTGTGTGTGTGTGTGTGTGTGTGTGTGTGTCACACATGTATTTACTATTTGTGCCTGCAGGACTGAGCTGTTAGCCCCTTGGTCCATGCCTTTCTAACGGTCTGTTGTCTAATATACTGACTCTCTGCCTATTTTCCTCTATCGTATCTACTACAAATATTTCTTTCTAACACACACACACACACACATCCCCCAGGATGCAGTCCATAGCAGCTGTCTAGCTCCTAGGTACCTATTTATTGCTGGGTGAACAGAGGCATCAGGTGAAAGAAATTGCTCATTTGTTTTTTGCCTCGGCCAGAAATTGAACCAGAGAACCTAGGAATATGACCCCTAAGTGCCATCTGCTTGGCTGAGAAGCCCTGTATGTATGTTTGTGTGTACATGAATGCATGTTTGTGTATGTGAATACGTACATGTTTGCAAGTGTCTGTGCAGTCAATAAGACTGATCTATGGTAGACAAATGTTGCAATGCAACACAAACACACAAAAAGTAGCAGAGTTCAGGAATAAAAGTGCTGGAAAATGAAACCTGTATATTAGAAAATATATATGCTATACTCATAACACCCAACAGTATTTCAACAGTATTTTATCCTTAAAAATCTAGTTTCCAATTGATGCATCAATTAAAAATCTTCATACATTTGTTAAACCAAATTCTTTCATTCATTAATAACATTCCATCACTTACCAATCACAATTATTATGCTTTTCAGGAATTGCACTCACAGTAAAAAATATTTAAGTCTAGCATTGCAAGACTTGACACTTTCCAGTGTTCACCATCATTTATTTTCCAATTTCTCTATTATATATAAAAATATTTTCCATACATCTATTGATATTAAACAGAAGTTAATATTTGTTTGCCGACTGCCGATCACGAGCAATGCATTACTTCCAGATGTGTTAATCACATCACAGAGCATGTGATGAATGGCTGGCACTGAAATATGCTCATGGCATAATCTGGCAATAGTGACTGCTAACAGTGCTAGTACAGGTATGCTGGAGCTGTTCTCATTGCACTGTTCATATAATATGCCTTCACAGCATGAAGCTGTAAGAGGCGAGATACAGCATTAATTACAACGCACAATGTTAACAGTTTTTTAACCATGAAGGGTGGTTTCAAAATAATCTCTTAGAATCACAGAAAATTATCCTTAATGAACATTTCATTAATCAATATACTAACTGGTCCCACCAAGGTAAATAAGATACCAGTGCCTGCTGTGTTCACTGCAGCAACACAAACACTTCGGCAACTGTGGCAATGAGAAATGTAATAAGTTACTCGGTTATCACTGGCCAGGTTACTCTCAGGACATGTACGCAGGGTGCTGAGTGGGGCGAGCAATGGATGAAAGCAGCGATTGGTTCAACTTCTCCAGTTCCTGAGGCTTGACACGTCTGCGTACTGTCCGTAGTGATGTGGCTGAACGTGCAGACCTGGATGAGTGGGAGGATGAGCGCCGACTCCACGAACCCCCAGGTGACTGTGACTGTTGCAATAAATGAGACTATTAAAACAATGCTGAAAACATCCAGCATCTTGTACAATAAACAAATCTCAGTAAACCTAACAGGCTTCCAGTCCCTAACAATGGAATTCTAGTATACCAGTATGACTCCAAAGACTCAAATGTAAATTGTTAACTTGAGACTGCTATACCCGATTTACCCGAGTGGTAAATCACCCTAATGGCCAGGGTGTCCTCAATGAGGACAGGAAGCCGGCAGCTTGTCGAAGGTCCCCTTATTTGCCTTTACCTTTTCTAAGTATATTTTAAAATTCAACATAATTTTGACATTTGCTACTTTGGTGGATAGGCGGTTCCATGGGTTAATAACCCTGTGGGTGAAAAAGCATCTCCTGTTCTCAGTCCTACATTGTGGCTTGTTGAGCTTGAAATTGCTGCTCCTTGTTTGTGTTGCATCTTACCTTCTGAAGAAAATGTTGGAATCAACATCCTCTAACTTGTTCAGTATTTTAAGTTTCAATGAGATCCGCCCTGTCATGGCTGGTTATATATATATATATATATATGCACAGGCTTCCTGACCCCAAGAATACTAATTAAATTATTGCTGGACTATCATCAGCTGGATTGTCAATGATCACACATATTTTCTGCATATGGCAGGAATCTTTGAATACCTCTTGCATATTTTACTAAAGGAAGTATTTGGGAATTTACTTTTCTTTAACCTATCTCTAATAGTTGTGCAAATATTGAGCGAATTAGAAAGAGAAACATAATGAGTAAGAGACCTGTTGTGAGGTGGAAGAGTGGTGGGCGAGGATCCATTTATGTGCTAGTGCCTCTACTGCAGTCAACCTCAACTGTGGGTTGACCTCCAGCACCCGACGCACGAAGTCCCGCCCGCTCTCGCTCACCTCCTCCCACACCTGCAAAACAAACATTACTGTAATGTTACTGTTGTGATGCATGTTTGGTCTGATGACCAAACATGCACATCACAAAATGGGGAACTATGACGTTTAGGTCCTTCCTGGATCATTATCAAGTCATGTAAAAGATGAGAGGATGTTACAGGTAAATACCTAAGGCAAGAGTAAGATGAGAGATGAGAAGCAGGTATGAATATTGTGAAGATAAGAAGAGGATGAATGTACAAATAAGGTAAGCATGGGATGAATGTCAGAACAAGGTAAGAATATGATGTATGTCAGAACAAGGTAAGAATATGATGAATGTAAGAACAAGGTAAGAATGGAATGAATGTAAGAATAAGGTAAGAATAGGATGAATGTAAGAACAAGGTAAGAATAGGATGAATGTAAGAACAAGGTAAGAATAGGATGAATGTAAGAACAAGGTAAGAATAGGATGAATGTAAGAACAAGGTAAGAATATGATGAATGTAAGAACAAGGTAAGAATGGAATGAATGTAAGAACAAGGTAAGAATATGATGAATGTAAGAACAAGGTAAGAATGGAATGAATGTAAGAACAAGGTAAGAATAGGATGAATGTAAGAACAAGGTAAGAATAGGATGAATGTAAGAACAAGGTAAGAATAGGATGAATGTAAGAACAAGGTAAGAATATGATGAATGTAAGAACAAGGTAAGAATAGGATGAATGTAAGAACAAGGTAAGAATATGATGAATGTAAGAACAAGGTAAGAATGGAATGAATGTAAGAACAAGGTAAGAATATGATGAATGTAAGAACAAGGTAAGAATGGAATGAATGTAAGAATAAGGTAAGAATAGGATGAATGTAAGAACAAGGTAAGAATAGGATGAATGTAAGAACAAGGTAAGAATAGGATGAATGTAAGAACAAGGTAAGAATAGGATGAATGTAAGAACAAGGTAAGAATGGAATGAATGTAAGAATAAGGTAAGAATAGGATGAATGTAAGAACAAGGTAAGAATAGGATGAATGTAAGAACAAGGTAAGAATAGGATGAATGTAAGAACAAGGTAAGAATAGGATGAATGTAAGAACAAGGTAAGAATATGATGAATGTAAGAACAAGGTAAGAATGGAATGAATGTAAGAATAAGGTAAGAATAGGATGAATGTAAGAACAAGGTAAGAATAGGATGAATATAAGAACAAGGTAAGAATGGAATGAATATAAGAACAAGGTAAAAATGGAATGAATGTAAGAACAAGGTAAAAATGGAATGAATGTAAGAACAAGGTAAAAATGGAATGAATGTAAGAACAAGGTAAAAATGGAATGAATGTAAGAACAAGGTAAAAATGGAATGAATGTAAGAACAAGGTAAGAATAAGATGAATGTAAGAACAAGGTAAAAATGGAATGAATGTAAGAACAAGGTAAGAATAAGATGAATGTAAGAACAAGGTAAAAATGGAATGAATGTAAGAACAAGGTAAAAATGGAATGAATGTAAGAACAAGGTAAGAATAAGATGAATGTAAGAACAAGGTAAAAATGGAATGAATGTAAGAACAAGGTAAGAATAGGATGAATGTAAGAACAAGGTAAGCATGGGACGAATGTAAGAATAAGATGAGGGTACGAATAGGATGAGTAAGAATAAGAGTAAGTATAAAGGTAAGAACAAGAAGAGGATAGGAATAAGCAACAGGGGCAAAGTTTGTCAGGTCTCGTTTGTTAAGAAGGTTGGAGGGAAGTACCCTTTCATGGTACTGTGAAAGGGAAGGGAAAGGGAAGGGAAGGGAAGGGAAAGGGAAGGGAAGGGGAAGGGGAAGGGAAAGGGAAGGGAAAGGGAAGGGAAAGGGAAGGGATGGGAAAGGGAATGGAAGGGAAGGGAAGGAAACTATCAGGAGAAAGCGCCAAGCCGTTATGACTACATAGCACAGGGAAGGGGTCAGGATAAGGATTTGGGATGGGACGGGGGGGGGGGGGGGGAAGGGAATGGTGCCCAACCAGTTGGTGGACGGTCGGGGATTGAACGCCGACCTGCATGAAACGAGACCGTCGCTCTACTAAGGGTAGAGAGTCAACAGGAACAAAGCCAGGACTAAGGTCCACGTTGGGCATGTTGTGTATCAGAACGGATTCGACAAGACGGCGTCTGTGAAGAGTAGAGGCAGGAAAGATTATTTTAGAAGGCCAATCAATCTCCAGGATGATTAAGAGTGTCTAACATGACAGAAGAGAGCAATGTTTTTGTCTGCAGACTTGACACTTTTATGTTCCTTAAGTCTGTCATTTAGTGTAAGTTACCGTCTCCACCACTTATTATACATACCACGGACAAAACTATAAACAATATAATAAAACCATGTTATATCTACTGGATATATTTAATGACTAATCCAGAGTCACAAAGATAACCAACCATTTGTCCCTATCCCTATAAAGGTATGAACGAGTGCCCATTATTAACATCTTCAGTGTCAAAATGACAAAAATTAAAATATAATTTTGCCAGATCGTAGTAATTCAATTAGGTCTTATTGCAGTAAGGATGCTGCTTATATTCACTGCCACACAGGACAGAGGATCATACACAAGACAACAGGTCTAAATTGTAGATTTAAACAAACATTTCATTAGTTACAATCCACTACATTAGATATTATACATATTCAACTGACGAATTTGTAAATACAACTTTCTATTGTTCACTGTCACTCAAGACAAGGATGGATTCACGAGCGCATATATGAACTAATTCTTTCTGAGAGTAAGCCATTTAGAATAGTGTAAATATGCTTGTAAACTTGGTTAAACTACTTGGATAGGCCTAGGGCTTGTCTTAATGTAACCAGGAGGAAACTTTGTTAGACCACATTTGATTAAGGGGTTACAGTGTAGAGTATACCATTATAGTCTACGCCCCCCCCCCTCCCCCCCACGGGTGGGTGGTGGCGCCTGCTGATGGCGTCAGAGGACTGGGGCTGGCGGAGACCACAGTAACATTTTTATCTGTGTGCGCGATATTGTCAATTACTTCATTTAGGTATTGTGTGTAACGCGCTCGCATCCCCGTACTTGCTGCCTCCACCCTCATATTTCCTAATTTAAACCCCACAAATTCCACCACTTGTTTAGTTTCTTATCATATTTACACACACACAACTGCATGGAGATAACACCATCACCCTCAGACTTGACCTAATCTAGTCCTTTTATTTACCATTTACGATGATGTTTGTTCAGACATATCTGATGATGATGATGATGATTAAGCCACCCAAAAGGTGGCACGGGCATGAATAGCCCGTAAGTGGTGGCCCTTTTGAGCCATTACCAGTATCAAGAGCTGATACTGGAGATCTGTGGAGGTGCGACTGCTCCCTGCTTGACGGGAGATGTCTCCCGTGTAGACATATCTGACACAGTGCTCGGCATATATCTGACACTTGGTGAGGTGAATGGATGGTAGACACTTGCAGTGGAAGTTACGAGAAGTGGTAAGAGAAAGACCACGTTTCCCTGCATACATAATAAAAGGTTTAAGTTACATATAATACTGTTGTTGAGGGGTAATTTTCTTTAAATTTTGCGCCAAGGGACGAGTTTACTGGGCAGCGGCACTCATCCTGTGAGTGGACACACCGCCATAGCATCATGTACAACAGTTGTGAGGTGTTCACAGGAACAGCTGCCTGGCGTGAACACTTACTATTGTTGTTATCACGTGTGAGGTACCCCCTAAATGCTCTTCTATACAACAACGCTCACCGCACCTGTATATTACCTGGAGCATACATGGAGTGGGTTTCGGGAGTTCTACTCCCCAATCCCGACCCGACTTGACCTGCCGCTTGCGGCACAACCTGTCGCCCGCACAACTTCTCGCCGCCTGTTGCACAAGCTTGTCACAAGCCACATTGATTGATGTATATTAAGCCACCCATTGATTGACCGATGAAGATTAAGCCACCAAAGAGGTGGCACGGGCGTGAATAGCCCATAAACCAGGCACAGTCCTCTACTACTAATTTTTTTTTATTTATATATACAAGAGTTGTTACATTCTTGTACAGCCACCAGCACGCGTAGCGTTTCAGGCAGGTCCTTAATCCTATGGTCCCTGGAGTACGACCCCCACGAAGAATCGTTTTAACAACTAAGTACACATTTTACTGTCGAGTTAAACAGAGGCTACAGTTAAGGATTTGTACCCGGTAAATCCTCTCCGGCCAGGATACGAACCCAGGACAAAGCGCTCGCGGAACGGGACGGAACGGAGGGCCAAGTACCAAATCTGCACAATAAAATAACAACGTACTGGAGTGAACGAAATGGAAGAAAATGCAGGATTGAACCAAAGAGCAGAGGTGCCATAGGCACAATCAGAGAACACTGTATAAACATCAGAGGTCCGCGGTTGTTCAACGTCCTCCCAGCGACTATAAGAAATATTGCCGGAACAACAGTGGACATCTTCAAGAGAAAACTGGACTATTTTCTAAGAGAAGTTCCGGATCAACCGGGCTGTGGTGGGTATGTGGGCCGGCGGGCCGCTCCAAGCAACAGCCTGGTGGACCAAACTCTCCCAAGTCGAGCCTGGCCTCGGGCCGGACTTGGGGAGTAGAAGAACTCCCAGAACCCCATCAAGCAGGTAAGGCCAGGCGAGCGTCTTACCACTACGCCACGGAGACTGCGTTATCTATGCCGTTACACTGTGAGACTACTAGTTATCTTGCTCCTCACACACCTCTACATCTCTCCCTGTCACAGTAAAAGACACAAATATGTGAATGCATGTGTGTGTATATATGTATACTGAAAACTCACACCCCAGAAATGACTGGAACCCATACTGTCAGGAGCACTCTGCTGGCGTACAGGATCCCTTAACCGCTCGACCAACACGACCGGACAAAAGTTTTAATATTCAGAGTTTTCAGTTGCATATAGTCCTGGGGACCATTCAGGCTTGTTCGCATATATGTACTGTATATGTACGTATGTGTTTGTATGTAT